TCAAAATAGTTTAATCCATTTTTAAAAAAATATATATACATGTTAAAATGAAATAATGCGTTTAGAAAAGTAATTTTCATATATTTACTCATTTTGTTATTTTCCAGTACTTAATTACACTTTAATCAGTGCTAATACGGGGCTCAATGTTTTCAAAATGCTTTCATAGATGGCATTGTTGTCATTTGTATCGGCCTAATTAAATGTCTTTTTTATATTTTCCAATAATAAGCACTTAATATATTATTATTGTAAATTAAACATATAAAAAAAGTTTAAGTAAATTAAAAATAGCCGAACAAGCAAATAATACTATTTCCAATAATACTTATGTATGAAGTGTTGTCATATTAAAAATAAATACATGTATTATCGATTTTTTTAATAATCGATAACAGGATTTTATTACAGCGCATTATTCGATGATGCTTTTAATGAGTCGTTGTGAACAGTAAATTTTCATTATTTTGTATTAAGTATAGCAGTATTCCGTTTCAAAGAACGGAATATAGTAGTACATTATTAGTGTCGTTGGTTATTTACATTTGTACTGAAAAATCGATTACATAATAATTTAAAATATCGAGTACGAATCGTAGCTGTCTTCGAATACTGGCAACTGGTAAGATTAAAATAGTTTTAAAAAAAAGAGCCAAATCGACCCTAACTCGAATACCATAAAGTTTATTTTCCTTTCTCATTAATATCATAGCAGTTTGTTTTTAACTTGCGTATGACTCTGTGGTATGATGTTTAACGTGTATTATTGTGTGTTATTGTACGGTGCATACATTTCAAAAATTATATTTTAATGTAGGTACATACATTTCTTTCATACATTTCATACATGTCAAAAATTATCTTTTAATGTAGGTACATACATTTCTTTCATACATTTCATACATGTCAAAAATTATCTTTTAATGTAGGTACATACATTTCTTTCATACATTTCATACATTTCAAAAATGAACTTTTTATGTAGGTACATACATTGTTTTCATACATCTCATACATTTCAAAAATTATATTTTAATGTAGGTACATACATTTCTTTCATACATTTCATACATTTCAAAAATGAACTTTTTATGTAGGTACATACATTTCTTTCATACATTTCATACATGTCAAAAATTATCTTTTAATGTAGGTCCTTACATTTCATACATTTCAAAAATTTCATACAATACATTTCTTTCATACATTTCAAAAATTATCTTTTAATGTAGGTGCATACATTTCACACATTTCAAAAAGTATTTTTTAATGTAGGTACATAACACCCCATGTCAGACCCCTTATATTTGGAAGAAACTTAAAAATAATGCCAAAAATATTAGATGAATATATTTTTAATACGAATATTGTTTTATTTTTGTTCATCAACTTTATCCCTCACTAACAATACTAGTAGTAGTACATAACCTGGTTTATACCGCTAAAGATATTGAAAGATGTACGAGTAATTCAGAATGTTATCAAGTTCAAAATAAGCACACATTACTTGCTTAGATAACAGAGTAATATTACTAGTAATAAAAACATTTGTAATACCCATATGTATACTACGTATGTATAGTAAGTACTTACGCTGCGGCGCCGTGAGACTCGTCTAAGTACTTCATCTACGCGCGGTAACCGCGCCGACCGACCAATAGGATAGCGCCTCTCGTGTTTCCAGAAAGTTCGCTCCTAACGGACGATATAGTAGTAAGACAATGAGTGTCCCAGTGATATCATTATAATATTTTCTCGTTAAATTTTATTGTAATATACACAATTTCGCACTAAATAACGTGTTACCCCGTTACACATTTCTAATAATGAAAAACCTAGACCGACCCTGTTCACTTAATCTTACAAGATCTGACTTTAAAAATTACGATATCCTCATATAGCCTTTCATTTCCCCTTTCAATACTTTTTCGCATTAAAAAGTAGCCTTTCTCAGGGTCTACATTATCTGTCTACCAAATTTCAATTAAATCAGTTCAGTAGTTTTGGCGTGAAAGCGAGACAAACAGACAGACTGAGTTACTTTAGCATTTATAATATTTGTAAGAATATCGCTATTAAAAATAGGGGTTGGTGAAAGACGGGTGAAAATTTAGGCGTGTATGTATTTTCAATGTAACATTATAAATAAATAAAAAATTGTCCATAATACAAAAAAATATTTTTTCGGGGTAGGCCACCCCTATGACTTAGGGGTATAAAAAATAGATAACAACCCTACCTCAGACCTGGGAAGTATACATATCAAATTTCATCAAAATGTGGGAGAAATATGGCAACTAACACTGTGATACAAAATTTATATATAAGATATAGCGGAATTCTCATTAGGTAAAAGAGGGGTACATCGTAGAATACATGAGGTATATACCAGTAAATTAATTGTAGCTAAAATCAGTCTCATACATATAACGATTGAAATAAAAAATCGTATAGCCCGATTTTGATACGTACGAGTATAAACGTATCAAAATCAGGCTATACGTATATCGCAGACGCGTTACAACATATCAAAAAAAATAGGCATGGAATGTAAAATAAACCATAACACAATAGGTATATACATTGGCACATAAGCGATATCTGCAGAGTGTCGGCTAACGATATTATACCTACACATTTACATTGAATCTTGAATCGTCCCTAATGAGGTACACGATACAGTTACCTACATATCTATTATATACATATCTTTGCAAAACAGATGTCATGTAGACTGAATTCACTGCCATCTATTTTCATGCTTTGTTACTAAGCACCCACTAGTAATCCGAACTGCTTCAGATCTAGCGACATCTAGCGGCTACGGTGGCGAAATAAAATAGCCCGAAGAATAGCCCGAGTTAGGAAGGAACCATTTTCTTGTATGGGATGGGGTATCTGTATGTAATATTATGTTATCTGTGGTCTTACTAACCTCTCCCAAGATCAGTTGAATAAGTTGGACCGTCTCCTTAACAACTGTATCCGGTTCATTTTTGGACTGCGAAAGTATGACCACGTCTCTAAATTTCGCTCACAACTTAAATGGTTGTCAATTCGTAACCGCAGAGACCTGCGTATCCTTTGCACACTCTTCTCTATTATTTTCGACCTTTCTTCTCCTACTTATCTGAAAGATAGATTTCGGTTCATCAGCGACTCCCATCCCCGTAACCTTCGCTCAGCTCATAACCTCCTTCTCTTTACTCCTTCCCATCATTCAACCTTTATGTCCAACTCTTTCACAGTCACGGCAATTAACCTTTGGAATGCGTTACCTGTAGACCTGCGCAGAACACAGAGTAAACCCATTTTTAAAAAGAAACTTTTTAACTACCTACTGAGTCGCCAGAATGAGCTATAACTGTTTGGCGTTGAATTAAGAGTATTATATTCATATATCTATATATATATTTATATATATGTACATTATATATCACATTTATATTTATATCGTGTATATATTATTTTATTTTATGTAATTTTTGTATCCATATCATACATAGTATTTTTATTTATTTATGTATATTTTAGTTGTATATTATATTTATATATCTACTATATAGTTTTTATTGTCACAGTTTTTCGCCACTACTGCCCTACAACGCTTTCTATTTGTACCTAAAGGTTAGCTGGTAGAGAATGCCATATGGCATTAAGCTCGCCTTTTGTACACGTGTTTTTTGTACAATAAAGAATAAAAAAAAAAAAAACATATTTTTCATTCAAGTCAAGTTTGTTGTTAATGTCTAAGAAGGATAGGAATATAGAGAATATCACAAGTCAGCTGTGTGCGCATGAAAAGGCACTCGGTAACAATGTAGACAGTGAATCTAGTTGTGAGGCCTTTGCTGTCAAAGGAGTCAAGAAGAAACCTAGTAAGTGTGAATACAAAGGCAGTAATAACAAGGACAGTAGCAAAAAGTTTAAATGCTTTGGTTGTAAAGAGGTTGGTCACCTTAAGAAAGACTGTCCTAAGAAAGTAGTTTCTCGAAAAGATGGCAGTAGTAAGGGAATTAACATGATGTTACTGACTGTGAATTCGGCTGAAAGTAGTATTGCAGATCGTGACCATTGGAATGTAGATAATGGGGCTACGAATCATGTTACAATGCGGAATGATATCTTTCAAGATTTCGAATACTTCAGTGAAGGTCACACTGTAATTACGGCGGACAAAAATGTGATCAAGGCAGTAGGCAAAGGATCAGTTTGTATTGAGGCCGATGTGAGATCGACTTTGAGAGATGTTTGGTATGTTCCTCAGATAAGTAGAAATCTGTTTTCTATATTATCGACACAAGATAGGAATCCAGGTAGCGTGTTTGAATCACGGGTCACTACTTGTACTATGAAAATAGGAGGAATGATTACCGTGACAGGAAATAGGGAGAGGTATGGAGGATTATATATGTTAGTAAATTTGGTACAGAAAGTTGATATATTGCAACTTTATCACGAACGTTTTGGTCATCAAAATAAAAGACATATAAGAAGTCTGATAGATAGAGAGTTGGGAATAAAAACAAAAGATAGTAAAGAATTATGCGAAAGTTGTATCTTTGGAAAATCTCACAGACAAAAGTTTGGTGTACGAGATAAAGCTACGAAACCTGGAGAACGCATATATTCGGATGTTTGTGGGCCTAAAAGTTTCCTAAAAGATTTAATGGGAAAATTTAAAATCACAACGAAGTCAGTATCCTACTTTCTCGGTATAGAGATAATAACCAGAGAAGACGACATAAAAATTCATCAGAAGTGTTATGTGAACAAAGTTCTTCGACGGTTTGGGATGGACAGCTTCAGACCGGTGCATACACCAATTGTTAGAGACATGTCTCAAAACCGGGATAAGGTCGATATGAGTAATATGTTGTTGAACTATAGACATATTGTTGGAGCCTTAGCATATCTCATGGTTGGAACGAGACCTGACATTGCATTTGCTGTTAGTGTCGTCTCAAGAAATTGGGAAATTCCAACTGAAGACGATTGTGTAAAGCTGAAACGGATTCTGCGTTATCTACAACATACGCAAGATATGGTTATTTTGTATCAAAAGGACTATAAAAAGGGCATCATAGAGTGTTATAGTGATGCTGACCATGGAGGAGACGTTGGTACTGGAAGGTCAACTTCTGGAGTACTGTGCATTTTTGCTGGTGGTGCTGTATCTTGGATGAGTCAAAGACAAGCAAGTGTTGCAATTTCAACCACTGAAGCAGAAATAGTTGCGGCCAGTGAAGCAGCTCGAGAATGCATTTGGCTAACTAGGATACTAAGCGAACTTACTGAAATACAGTATCCTCCTGTATTACAAGTGGACAATGAAGCCGCGGTGAGACTAGCGGAAAATCCTGAGTTTCACAAGAGAACAAAACATATTCTCATCAGGCACTTCTTTGTTCGAGAACTTGTGACAAAAGGTGATCTCATGGTTCAGAAAATTAGCAGTGAGTGGCAGCTTGCGGATATTTTTACTAAAGCTTTATCAAAGCCAAGGTTAGAGAAGATTAGTAAGCTGCTAGGATTACACATCGAGAGAAGATGTTAAGAACCTCCTTGGTTCAATGGCAGGCGATATGCATTCTAGCAGCGCTTGTCAATGTAAAATAAAAAAAAGAAAATAATATTTTTTTATGACAGTCTTATATACTATGAACATTGACTGAACTTGCTGACTAATATTAACTAGTGTAGGTATCCAAAATCCTAGTCCTGGTTTTCTTTAACACTGATAACTGATCCCGGCGTTGCTTAATACTGGTGAGTGCTACTATCAATTTCCTATATTAAAATGTTGTTCTAGACGTCCATGAATATATTTGTAAATAGGCTTAATACTGAAAGAAATGCTTTAGGTCCTTGTTGAATATCTTCCGAGAGTCCCACAACCATTAGTTAGCGTCTGATGGATGACTGTGATGATAAAGGCAAAAGCATAGGCGGGCGGGGTGGCATTTTTCAGCTATTGCCTGTTTCAAAAAATGTGAAGAAAGCGCACCTGAGTAACACCTGAGTGACAATAGTAAGTAAGCACTGTTTTACTATATTTGTAATTTATTTGAGACTAGCTAGCACTAGATTAGCTTCAAGCTATAAAAATCATATTTACAGACAACCAGACTTCTCATATCAGAAGAGGTAGAAAAAAAGAGGAGCAAATGAATAGTTTAAATTTAATAATCATATATGTATATTGTCTATGTTCTAGATTTAAACAGAAATACAATATTTTGATTACATATTAATAGACATTAATAATTATGTCAGACCTAATGAAATCTTAGTAAGATAAATCATTTTAATTGCAGATTAGCAACAACGACGTCAGTTAATTTACTTTCAATATTAAATTGTTTAGAAAACGGATTATCTGCTCAATGTGCGTTTTATAGAAGTTATATTCACAAATCGTCATTGGACGATGTAAACAAAGGCTATGGAATAAAATATGAAAGAAAATAGGAGTATTGAAAATTGTGGCTTGTTCATTGATAACACAAATCCGTAGTATTTAGGTGCAACATCTGTTGGTATTTCAGACATGATTGTAGAAAGGAAGTGTCCGTAATGAAAATGAAATGAAGTGATTCAACGAAATAAGGTTCAATTTTAAGCGGGTATATAATAATCTAAATAAAATCTGATTGACATATTCAAGTAAAAGAGCAAATGCACATTCATAGCAAATACAATGATGTATATATATATATATAATTATAATTTTGGATATGGTACAGAGACAAAATAAAAATATAATTTATTGAAAATGTATCATACATTTTTGCACATAAGTAAAGGAACCAAAATTGCTAAATTTGTACTAAATACATGAGGAGTTATAGTACCTTAGTCCTTTATACAGTACTTTTAAATACTACCAACGATGATAAAAATAACTACCTGCTTGTGACTATTGATTTGACCAATACACATGGGCGTAGCCAGCCATGGGGACATGGTAGGGCAGCTGTCTAAAATATTATGTAACTAGCAAACTATACCTGCAGTCTTAACCCGATTAATACCAGGCAGCCTACCCAGGCACACGGTGGCTACGCCCATGCCAATACACACAGCATAAATAGTAGCAAAACATGACTAAAGTTTGAAACTGTGAAAATAATATTAAAATTAATAACTAAAAAAACATAAAAATTTGCTAATAATCACAATATATGAAATCAATTGATATTAGGAGACAAAAAATTAGTTATTAAATAAAATTAAATAATAACAATTATCACAGACTAGCTTAGTAAATAAATATGAGTTACCAAAAAATTTTATTACTGATGATGATTAGATAATCTTATTAATTTAGGTGAATATAATGTGGATCTATTTATCTTACTGACAGAATAATGTATCTGTAATACATATTCTATACAAAAACCTGTAGCATGTTAGCTGTCTCATGTGCTAATAGTGCTGATAATGTACCTACAATGAATTCATGCGAGAATAAGGTATAAATGTGGGCTGTATTCTATGAGACTACCTATTGCAACAAGTAATAAATAATTGTTGTCCAGAATCGCCACACACAGTATTCTAAAATAGGTAGTCAAATAAAAACAATGTTAAGTACACAACTCTAGTAATTGCATTATGAAACTGTCTGTGTGTTCTAAAGTTTTTATATTTTGTTGAATGATTGCAAAAATAGTTAACTTAGGTATAGTAAACATAATACTACATGTTTTTCCCTACTCTCAATCACTGATATGGAATAAAAATAACTCCCATTTATAATTTTAATATTTTAATTTATACTGTGACATGCCAAAAAATAGCATAATGTTTTTTGGTTTATAGTCATTAGTTTATATGGTGTAGAAAAAATGCAAAAACGAAACAGTTAACAATTGCCTTTTTATATAGAATTTTGATCACCTGTATTAAGTAAAAATTTTTAAATATATGAAGCCTTTTTCTCGGACATCTCTGAAACTGGATTCGGTACTTCACATCAAGGACACAATAAGTTGAAACTCATTATTTGTTTTTAATGAACACATCAAAAAATCTAATTATTGTGTGCAAGAAAACTACTTAGTTTTCTAATTTCACATGATTTTTAGATTTTAATTCTTCTATGTTATTAGGCACTAGAGCAAACATATATACTGGATATATGCCATTTGGAAAATTTGTTTGTTTACATTGTTTGATACGTTTTAAATTAGCTATTTTAAATATTTTTATAAATTGTATTAATGATCTTGTTACAGATGAATCTTTATCATCTCTTTCTAATTCACCAGATGACGTGACATTTTCTTTCACTACAATAATGCCATTTTGAGTTAAGGCATTTCTGAAACAAAATTAATTAAAATTAATAAATATATACACAATTTTTAGATATTATGAACATAATTGGGTAGTACACTTCTGATTGACTTGTATTACAGACCATGAAAATGCTCTCTTTGGTTACATCAATTTGAGAATGGTTTGTCAAATTATTAAATATAGTTATAATACATATACATACATTTCATACACATAATTTAATTAATGTAATTAATACAAAAACAATATTACAGGACAACAAAATTTTTTTAAACATCAATTTATTACATATATAATCTTCATAAGTTCAATTAATGAGGCCGGAATAAGATTTCTATGAGACACCATGAATAACGAAGTGAAAGCAATTATAAAATACCTGCAATATTTAAGAAAAGATACCAAATCTTCGTCAGTCAAATGTCCTAGTACCCATTGATTCCATATAATATCATATTTTTTATCAGGCTTGAACTCTTGTAGTCCTACATTGTATAAATTGCCCAATTTAATTCTCTCTTCGCCAACAAATTCAGTGATCGTATTCAAGAATTTTTCATCAGGTTCTATTACATCCACAGATTGGAAATAAGGGAGAAGCAAATGTTTCGTTATTCTCCCGATTCCGGCTCCACAATCAAGTGCTATGTTTGATGCCGGTGGGTCTTTCAATGAAAATAACGATTTTAGAAATAATTTTGATCCAGCGATATCTAAATCAGATATAAATCCAAAACCTCCAAGTACGCCGTCAATAGTAGCAGGTATATCTGCCCAATATTCCAAAGCTTTGCCATATGATAAATCGTTTTGTTGGGTCATTATTATAAAAATACAACGGGCTATGCTGTCAGACGAGATAATTTTGAATTCTATAAGTAATTCAATGGCACCGATTATGCTTACGCTAGGTACTTCAAAAATTCATCTGTGCACATTGTGCTTTGGTTAATAAATTATTATTTATCTAAATTAAATATAAATGTAATGTAAAATAACAAAGTACGAAACTATAATGATCAGTCAATGAAGAATAAATCTTTGGTAGATTACCATAGCTATACAGAAATATTGATATAAATTATAAATGCTCTAGATTCTAAGGAGAGTTTGTTAATTGTCATCACTTCTTAACAGTAGGGATGTTCAATATATATCGATGTCAGCAAATATTAATATTTTGACAGTAATGTCTAATCGATAACAGATCGATGTTAAGTCCTCGATAAAAACGACAAATAAACGAGACGCAACAGTAATGACCAAAAAAATAAGAATAGAAACTATAAAGAAGTATGAATAAAGTATCTTGACAATTTTTTTCTAGTTTAGAACGAAAAATAAATCGCGATCTATTGTGGCACTATCAGATTATGACGGTTAACTACGGTAAATGCTAGATTGTGCTATAAGGCCTCGCCACCCTTTTGCGCGATTATGATTAGTATTAGAGCAAGAGCCCACGACGGCCAGACACGTCATATTAATAAACGTGAAAGTTCTTGTATGTGTCCCCAACACAGGTAAGAACGATCCCCAGACATGAAACCTGGATCGTGGTTGCTTTGGTAGGTAACAGGTAACAAAGGTGTAAAAAAATTCATATCAAATTCGTTATTTTAAGAAACTCCACATTTTCATATATTGTTCGTAGCATTATTATAACTTGCGCTGCTCATTGCCAGACAATTAGTGTGGTTCCAACCCCCCGTCGGACCCCCCTAAACTATACTATTTTATAAATAAACTTACGTCATTTTAATAAAGCTGAACTTTATATATATTATTGAGAGAACTATTAAACTGAGTTTCCTAAATTGCTAGACAGTTTTCTTGGTTCCTTATCCTTGGTTCATTAGGAAACTCAGTTATATATCGAGTATAAGTAAATAGATACAAAGTCTCTTAACACGTCGTGGTTTAACTCTACTTTATTTACTGCACAAGACATACAAATATCGAAACGATAACAGGTAGGTAGATAGTATCTCTATAGTTTACAATGGGACTGAACTGGAACTTATGAGTAAAGTAAATATACCAAGAGGTTCAAATCCACTGTCCTGCAGTTACTGTAATTTTAACCGGATAACCGATTTTTTTAAATGATGATGGTGCATGGTGCACCTGCCTACGCTGGCGAGGCACCATAGGAGGATGATAAAATGAACATGATAGCCCAAGAGCCCACGACTGCCAGACATACGTCATTTTAATAAACGTGAAAGTTCTTGTATGTGTGTCCCCAACACAGGTAAGAACGATCCCCAAATATGAAACCTGGATCGTGGTTCCTTTGGCAGGTACCAGGTAACAAAGGTGTAAAAAAAATCATACCAAATTCGTTATTTTAAGAAACTTCATATTTTCATATATTGTTCGTAGCACTATTATAACTTGCGCTGCTCAATGCCAGACACGTAGTGTGGTTCCAACCCCCCGCCGGACCCCCCTAAACTATACTATTTTAGAAATAAACTTACGTCATTTTAATAAAGCTGAAATTTATATATATTATTGAGAGTTCTCTCAAACTGAGTTTCCTAAATTGCCAGACAGTTTTCTTGGTTCCTTATCATACCAGACTCATTGAAACCGTATATTGGGTAACAACGGTGTATATTTCATATCAAATTCGTTATTTTAAGATGCTCCATTTTTTCACATATTGCTCGTAACAGTATTATAACTTGCTCTGCTCATTGCCAGACCCTTAGTGTGGTTCCAACCCCCCCCCGGACCCCCCTAAACTATACTATTTTAGAAATAAACTTACGTCATTTTAATAAAGCTGAAATTTATATATATTATTGAGAGTTCTCTCAAACTGAGTTTCCTAAATTGCCAGACAGTTTTCTTGGTTCCATACCAGACTCATTGACAACCGTATATTGGGTAACAACGGTGTATACAATTTCATATCAAATTCGTTATTTTAAGATGCTCCATTTTTTCACATATTGCTCGTAACAGTATTATAACTTGCTCTGCTCATTGCCAGACCCTTATTATAAATAAACTTACGTCATTTTAATAAAGCTGAAATTTATATATATTATTGAGAGTTCTCTCAAACTGAGTTTCCTAAATTGCCAGACAGTTTTCTTGGTTCCTTATCATACCAGACTCATTGAAACCTTATATTGGGTAACAACGGTGTATACAATTTCATATCAAATTCGTTATTTTAAGATGCTCCATTTTTTCACATATTGCTCGTAACAGTATTATAACTTGCTCTGCTCGTTGCCAGACCCTTAGTGTGTTTCCAACCCCCCGCCGGACCCCCCCAAACTATACTATTTTATAAATAAATTTACGTTATTTTAATAAAGCTGAACTTTATATATGTTATTGAGAGAATTATTAAACTGAGTTTCCTAAATTGCCAGACAGTTTTCTTGGTTCCTTATCATACCAGACTTATTGAAACCGTATATTGGGTAACAACGGTGTATACAATTTCATATCAAATTCGTTATTTTAAGATGCTCCATTTTTTCACATATTGCTCGTAACAGTATTATAACTTGCTCTGCTATTTTCCAGACCCTTAGTGTGTTTCCAACCCCCCGCCGGACCCCCCCAAACTATACTATTTTATAAATAAATTTACGTTATTTTAATAAAGCTGAACTTTATATATGTTATTGAGAGAATTATTAAACTGAGTTTCCTAAATTGCCAGACAGTTTTCTTGGTTCGACAACGATCAGAGCAAGTTATAATACTGTTACGAGCAATATGTGAAAAAATGGAGCATCTTAAAATAACGAATTCGGTATGAAATTGTATACACCGTTGTTACCCAATATACGGTTTCAATGAGTCTGGTAGGATAAGGAACCAAGAAAACTGTCTGGCAATTTAGGAAACTCAGTTTAATAGTTCTCTCAATAATATATATAAGGTTCAGCTTTATTAAAATGACGTAAGTTTATTTATAAAATAGTATAGTTTAGGGGGGTTCGGCGGGGGGTTGGAACCACACTAAGGGTCTGGCAACGAGCAGAGCTAGTTATAATACTGTTACGAGCAATATGTGAAAAAATGGAGCATCTTAAAATAACGAATTTGATATGAAATTGTATACACCGTTGTTACCCAATATACGGTTTCAATGAGTCTGGTAGGATAAAGAACCAAGAAAACTGTCTGGCAATTTAGGAAACTCAGTTTGAGAGAACTCTCAATAACATATATAAATTTCAGCTTTATTAAAATGACGTAAGTTTATTTATAAAATAGTATAGTTTAGGGGGTCCGGCGGGGGGTTGGAACCACACTAAGGGTCTGGCAATGAGCAGAGCAAGTTATAATACTGTTACGAGCAATATGTGAAAAAATGGAGCATCTTAAAATAACGAATTTGATATGAAATTGTATACACCGTTGTTTCCCAATATACGGTTTCAATGAGTCTGGTAGGATAAGGAACCAAGAAAACTGTCTGGCAATTTAGGAAACTCAGTTTGAGAGAACTCTCAATAATATATATAAATTACAGCTTTATTAAAATAACGTAAATTTGTTTATAAAATAGTATAGTTTGGGGGGGTCCGGCGGGGGGTTGGAACCACACTAAGGGTCTGGCAATGAGCAGAGCAAGTTATAATACTGTTACGAGCAATATGTGAAAAAATGGAGCATCTTAAAATAACGAATTTGATATGAAATTGTATACACCGTTGTTACCCAATATACGGTTTCAATGAGTCTGGTATGATAAGGAACCAAGAAAACTGTCTGGCAATTTAGGAAACTCAGTTTGAGAGAACTCTCAATAATATGTATAAATTTCAGCTTTATTAAAATGACGTAAGTTTATTTATAAAATAGTATAGTTTAGGGGGTCCGGCGGGGGGTTGGAACCACACTAAGGGTCTGGCAATGAGCAGAGCAAGTTATAATACTGTTACGAGCAATATGTGAAAAAATGGAGCATCTTAAAATAACGAATTTGATATGAAATTGTATACACCGTTGTTACCCAATATACGGTTTCAATGAGTCTGGTATGATAAGGAACCAAGAAAACTGTCTGGCAATTTAGGAAACTTAGTTTGAGAGAACTCTCAATAATATATATAAATTTCAGCTTTATTAAAATGACGTAAGTTTATTTCTAAAATAGTATAGTTTAGGGGGGTCCGGCGGGGGTTGGAACCACACTACGTGTCTGGCATTGAGCAGCGCAAGTTATAATAGTGCTACGAACAATATATGAAAATATGGAGTTTCTTAAAATAACGAATTTGGTATGATTTTTTTTACACCTTTGTTACCTGGTACCTGCCAAAGGAACCACGATCCAGGTTTCATATTTGGGGATCGTTCTTACCTGTGTTGGGGACACACATACAAGAACTTTCACGTTTATTAAAATGACGTATGTCTGGCAGTCGTGGGCTCTTGCTCTATGAGATCAGGTCTAACAATCCCCCCCCTCCCCGATAACAGATTTACTGCTAAATGAATAAAGGTCCATCTCGTTTTTATTCTATTAGAAGCTACCGCATTGAATGGGTTTAGGTTAATGAAACACTTTGTAATTACGAAAACATAACTCTTAATTAGTTATTTATATCGTTAATAATTGTTGTATATAATAATAATATCTGAGTACTATTCACATAGCGTAATCTGTTCCCAAGCTAATCAAAGTTTTTGTTATGCGCACTGCTCAACTGATATAAATATAGATACGGTTTTTATGTAATATATACATATTTACATAGAAAACGCAGACAGTCATAAATACAAATCTTTGTACCGTTCGAGGAATCGTGAGGCAGTGTGTTAAACTGCTAGAGCGTCAAATTAATTAAGACAATTTATACTAGTCCTGAAAAAAAATCTGATGCATTTTTTATACTACTTGATGGCAAATTGTTAATGAGGTCCTTCTTTTTATTTTGTTTGTGATTAACATTAATTATTTTATCAATAGATTCAAAATATGAGATGTTCCAAAATTTCACATCGTTATCATGTGAACTAGATGCAATGTATTGACCATCATGACTTATATCCATACATTCAACTGGTAACCGATGTTGGCCCACTATACCCAAATGGCGTTGGGGGAACATGTGTGTAGCTCTCAGCATTCCATCTTCCCCAGAAGTAACCACCACATTTTGAGTTATTGGTATCATGCATTCAATAGAATGCTTTTGTCCAATATATTCATCACTATGTAAACCAAACTCTTTCCAATTGAATAAATAAAGTTTTCCTTTTGATGATCCAACCAATAATTTTGTTTCGGATCGGAAAAGTCCCATACATGTTAATTCAGCATTATATTCTTCAGAAGTGCTATAAATTTTACTGAAACAATGTAATTAGTATTTTTAATATCTATTCACTTTAACAGCAATGTGTTACAATTATTTTTCTGATTTCTATTAACACCATCAGGGGAGTCAGAAGAAAATGGTACTTAAAATATAATTCATGTGCTCCAAAACCCGTCTGGTGGTGGCAGTTAATTGTTAATCCTAAATAAACTCTTTTTGTTTATATTATTCATTAGAATTACAAAATACCTTGCTTTTAAATCAATAGAGGTGAGCACACCATCGCCAGCTGCACAAACTAAATATTTCTGAACTTCATTACTAATCATATCAGAGACATAATCTTCACTAATTTTTAGACTGAATATAGGATCAGGTTTTCTTACATCCCATAATTTTACGATACCTCCATCATCACCTGTAACAGTAATAAATATTGTACATTATGTTTGTTTTAAAATGTGTTTTAATTGCATAAGGGTACATCCTTATACAATTATAAAATGTTTACATATATCTTTATATTTTAATTTTTGTCATAAAAAATTTTACCTGTAACAATTTTTCCCTCATCCAAACATTTTAAACTGTATACTGGTTCATCATGTGCATTTTCATAGCATGTCTTTAATTTTCCTGTTTCAACATCAGTTGCCATTATTACCTTGTCCTATAATTTGTGTTTATTGTTATTAACATGTGCAAAAGATATATATTGAAAGAAAAGAAAAATGCATGCATGCATGACATGTTATAACACTATGAAGGAAAAAGGTAACCTATACCAAATGAGTTTTGTAAAGTTTCAAGACAGTTAGAGTACACATATAACATATAGTAGCAAAGTAGAAATAATATATAGTCAAACTAGAATTACTATAAGTACTAAGCAATTTAAATTTTCTATGTGAATACAGAGTAGTTTCCAGAGGTAAACTTCATATTAAGTTGTCTGCATAGGTATCTAAGGGTAACAAGCAACTTGATTTAACCAAATTGCGTAAATTGAAATTTATGCATGATTTTTGTTAAATTAACTATTATTGAGTTTCTGAAAACTGAATTTAGAATGAAAGTAAAAGTAATGTAGGTGTGTGTATTACACTTAGAAACTCACTTTAGCTGTGCTGTATAGTGTGAGGCCATTGTTTTCAAACTCAACTTGCCGACAAGCTTTCAAATGTAACTCCAATGTATTTACAAGTTTGGTTTCATCATTGCTGTATTCATATAATAGTATGTCACCAACAATGTTAGCTATAGCTATTAAATTCTTAATGGGACTAAAGGAGATATCGACAATAAAATCTTCGGATGTAATGGTTGGTGGATGATCACGAGGTTTATTTTTCTCTGCTTTTATTGCTTTAACTACTTCGTCATCTTCATCTTCATCATCATCATCATCGCTCTCCTTATCCTGATTTGTACTTTCTTCTTTCACTATTGTTTCATTTAGATTGTCATTTTCATAATCCATACTATCTGAGGGAAATTATAAATAAATTTGTGTAATACAATAATAATAGTACAAGAGTACAGTAATAATATATTTAGACCTATGGTATATATAGGATGCGGTAATATGGTAACTATCCATACTAATATTACAAATACAAAAGTCTTTGTATTTTCATTATCTTTCCACTACCATATATGCAATTTAACATGAAGATTGATTGTATCTAAGGACATATCAAGTGTTACCTTCGCCATGACATTGATATTTGCCAATGCTCTGACTACTTTATTAGCAATAACAATTATTAATTAAATTACTAGTATTGCCTACTTAACTTCCTACAACGTACTTCCAATATGATATTGAATTTGCAGTGTCAAATATTAATTATTTTGTTGTGTATAAGTACCATTTTCTGACTCTTCATCGGTTTGATCACTAGTATCACTTTCATCGGAAGAATTTTTATCATAATCACGAAAATTAATAGGCATCTTTATTATTTGTCTGCAATATACGTATAAATATGATTGTTAATTCACAAGTACGAAATAATTTTCCTAATTTAGGTTAGGTTTATTTTATAAATTCATTTTACGGCCCTGGAATTAGTATAGATTAGATTCAGTGTTGCTAATTTAAATAAAAACATCGATATTTTTTAATACCAATTTAAGATTCGAATTATATCTAAATAAATAATATCGAGTAGAAAAATAATCCTGTGGTTAGCCAAACATTCGAATCAATTCGATTTATTGTGTGGTGAACATCGAATTGAATCGATATATCAATGTAAAATGAATATTCCGAATTGTCATTTTGCTTGTCTCTGTCAGTGCATGATTGCATTTGTCTTCTATTTGTTGTGTGTTGTCAGCCCGCTGCTTATCTCCAAAAATATAGTTATAATTGATACATGTATTAATTAACTATCAACATTAAGTAATGCAGCTTGGAGTTTTAAACTTGTGGAATCGAACAACTTTATGCACAAGTAGGTAATTTTATTGTTTATAATTTATATAGTAGTTTATTGTATCGTTATAGCATTAAAACATATATAAAAAAACATTATTAACTGCAATGACCGTATAGGCAAAGAATATATGAGTGGCGGGAAATATTAAATAGACGGCAAGGTTTTGCATTCAATTTTGCTGTTTCAAATTAGATTTTTTTAAAGCTAGCGATTTTGATTTTTTAATGAGAATAGTTTTGAGGGTACTCAATTTTAAGTTGTCTATATAGGATAGGTCAAAAACAATATAGGAATTCAAATTATTGTAATAGTATTCATAAAACGGAAAAAGAAGGCCTAGCTGTGGAAAATTTTACTTAAGAAAACATTGGAACTTTCTTCTATGTGATCCCATTTTGATTTTTTTTCTATTTCAAAGTGGGTGCTTCTGATGTGGTCCTATATAATAATAAATTGATCAAGATATTTGAAGCGGTTGTGGTCGGTTTTTTATAGCCTAAACACAGTGGTTTACATACCTATTGTTAAACTACTCGATCACGTAATCGGTTTAGTACCTACCTACGATAAGTTCAAAATTAATCTTTAAATTTCGCCTATGTTGTTTGTAAATTTACATGAGTATTCTATCTGACTTTTGTCTTAGTACCTATTTTTCTTACAACTAATTGTAAGAGCCTCTACATATTTCAGTTTCAGCCCGAATGTCCCGTGCCAACAACATTTTGGCGCATTAGTTGCTAACTAATAGTTGAGTGATAGGCGTCTTTAAACTTATGTAGGTTTTAAAAATAATAATAATAGTAATAATAATAATCTTTATTTGTCTCAAACAGAAACTTTTTACACAATACAACTATTGCCCATAGAATAATATAATTTAAAAACTAATTAATGAGACAAAACGGTCTATAACTCAGTGAGGGCAGTGAGTCCACCCTCTCTGCTATTTTGTTATAGCCTTTATCAGTAAAATACAATGTGAGATCGACGACGACGATAGCATATTAAGTTTTAAACTACAACTAACAAAGTAAAAATGAAAATTGACAATAACAAACTTATATAATCCAAACATTATTCAGGATTAGTTACAACATTAAATAAAATCTAAGAATTATTCAGGGTTATTTTATCATATATACCATCAGACGCAGACTTGCGTGTACACACATATATCGACATAACTTAGTTTTACAATACTAATTTCGTAGTAATTACAATACTACGAAACGAGGAATTGTTCTTGCAGCAACCATTTGCTACATTTGCGCCTAAATATTGGTAAGGATAAAATCAGTGATGAACGAACTGGCGGGGGCAAGTCGTTCCAAATTTTTGCTGCAGCATACTTAAAACAACCCCTTGTTCTTGTGAGCTTTATGAAAGGTTTAGAAAGCTGATGACATCTGTCTCTGAGGGAGTCTACTTTAGATTTATAAACATTAGTTTTTACATATAAATATGAAGGTAATTTTGTATTCCTTATGGAGTGCAAAAGACAAGCATACTTTAAAATACAAACATTGTGTGAATTTAATATATTATTTCTGATTAAATAAGGTGTAATATGATCTCTCCGCGGTATATTGTAACAAAATCTCATACAAGCATTCTGTACTCTTTGTTTTATTTTGGCAATTTTTGCAATCATACAAGGACTATAAACAATATCACAATAGTTTATTAGTGATAATACTAGACTATTGCATAATAATAGTCTTATGTCTCGTTTGAGAAACGTACGAAACTTATAAAGCATTTTTAATACCCCATAACATTCAGCTACTTTACTTCGGATATGCTGTTCAAATTTAAGATGCTCATCCATGAGGAGACCCAGATTACGTACATTATCTTGATATGGTATAATAATATTGCTAAGTTTAATTGTCGGTTTATATTTATTAATATTTTTAACTTGTTGTTTAGTTCCAAATGTAATAGTACTACTTTTATTGGGATTAAGTGTAAGACCATGTTTTACTGACCACTCTGTTATTGATGTCAGATCTATATTTAATTTGTTTACTGCAGTACTAACATCATGTTGACCTGGTAAAGTGTGAACATACAACTGACTATCATCTGCATATAAGTGTATTTGTGAGTGAGTTACTGCTTTAACAACACTAGCGGTGTATATGGAAAAAAGTATTGCTACTGAAAAAGGACACCTAAGCGTAAAATCGAAAAAAAATTTTACTACTATTTTTATTAATGACAGTTGTGTATTAATTATTTTATTGCGCATAAAATGAGTATGTGCACTGTAACATAGCTGTATTACTATTATTATGATATCAACAAAATGTAGTCAAAGTATAAAAAAAAAACTATTATCGCTAAATCACCAGAATGTAATTATTACTACTTTTCTATATAATAAAATGTATGGTCTACAACTGATCTTTTTCCGACCACTTGATTTCTCATCACTAAAATGCTATAATATATTCTGAATTATATTTTGTATTTAGCCGCCAACTAACGTTTAAATTCTTATATATAAAATTGTCGTGTTACAATGATGGTTATCATATTCCTCTGTAACGGCATGATTTTTAAAAAAATTATATTCATATTATGCAGGTCTGGGAATCGGCTACTATCTATTTTTCATACCTCTAAAGTGATAATGGTTGTCCACCCCAACATTTTATTTTTTACCCAAAACTTTTTTATAATGCATTAATAAATATATACAACCCTATGTTTTCATCCTTCTATCACCAACCCCTATTTAAGGAGGAAGGTATGAAAACTGGTGATAATTATTCTGCTAAAAAAAATAAGTTTTAGGTAAAACTACCGATTAGAAGAGCTCCAACTGGAATGTCTAAGGCATTCACCGTTCTCCCCGGACCTTGCTCCAACAGATTACCATTTCTTTTGAAGTTTGGATAATTTCTTATAAGAGAAAAAAAATCATGTCCAATGGGATGCGCTTTGGACTACCCAAAGCGCCTTCAAATATTTTGTTGATTCTCGTCTGAATGGTATTTTAGTAATGGGTTCAATGACCTTCCTATGAGATGGCAAAAGTGCATAAATAGCAATAGTATATACTTTGATTAAATAAATATATTATATTTTGAAAATATCGACTTTAGTTTACTGCCTTACAAAACGCCAATTTCATATCTTAGGACCTACTATATTAACACCTAAAACCCTACTTCAATGCATAAACTGTAATAAAAATAATATTTTGGTTGACTGAAAATTTGCTTTCTCACAAATTTTTTCGTTCAAATTCAACTGATATCGTCCGAGTTAAATTCATCAGCCCACTGATCGTAACGAACATATATTCGATTTTTTTTTCATGAAATTTCCGCTTGAAAACATATTGGTGGCATCATCCAATCAGGCAAAGGTCAGAAGAAAGTTGCGGTCCAATTTAGAAATGCCAACAGTCGTAATATTTTATTTTTTGGAAAATCAGACCTTATAGAGAACTATAATTGACACAATAATAAAACATAATTGACAGCTTCAATACCAAGATGCCATGTATACCGTATGGGTATCGTTAAAGACATATGTGCCGAATAGTCTCTGAAGAACTGGTAACAGGAATAGAGAACCCTGCTGATTCTAATAGTACCTACTCAGATTATAAAAGTGCGACCAAAATGATATGTAAAAAATATGTTTTGGTTTGTTTTGTTCCTGTGGCCATGAAATAACAGACCCTATATGCCCTAAATTCCTGGCGTGAGTGCCACCAGATATCTATTAAATTTATAATAAATGAATTATCTCAGAAAATCTAATAAATTATCTTAGAAGAAACATAACTTACTCCGAAGCTGCACTTAGATTTAGTTAGTATTGATGATTCCATATTCTTATCTATTTATACAATTTATTGCACCATATTGAAAAATATTAAATAAATTTGTTAAAAGATACCAAATTATATTTCTTAAACATATTGAATAAAAACCTCAATGATCCCCTATCAGACATAGCTATAGCTCTATCATTAGTTTTAGCCAACATATTAGGGGTTAAAGTAATAAATTGTACTGAAAAATGAAACTAGTTTTTTTCTAAGATGTGACATATTTATTTAATCTTAATATTTATCCTCATTATTTATATATTGCTGCCATTTAATCGGAAGTTTATTTATGCCTTTACGATAGATCTCTGGGAATCTAGATTCTACAAACTGTGTGAAAGCATAAGACTTTAGTACTGTCCTGGGAAGTATTTTTTTTATTACGTAGAAAATTGTCCAATCACGAAAAAAATGGTTGTCCTTCGGAGAAAGGTGTGGCGAGTATGAAGGATGACGTATGGTTTAAACTGCAGCTCTTATAGAGTTGCAAAGGTTTCTCGTGCAGTATGTGGTCTTGCGTTATCGTGGTGTAATAATGGTGGTGGTGGAGATCAATTCACGAGTCGGGGCTGTTTCACTGCCAGTTTCGCCATCATTGTTCAAAGTTCGGCACAGTAAACTTCTGCCGTCATTGCTTGACCACGCCTGAGAAAGCTATTATAGTAAATAATAGCATGAAGACACCACCAAAGAGTCACCTTTACTTTTTTTTGTAAGCTTTGCTTTAGGGCACTGTTGGAGCGTTTGACCTGGGGTCAGCCATTGCATTTTTGCTTACGGTTATCGTAAAGAATCCACTTTTTGTCAATGTCACAATTCGATCCAATATAAGGAATCAAATTTCATTTCTGTACCGATCGTACAATGCACAAGTTTCAACATCGCATTGCATTTTTTTCTCAATACCTATCAGTCAAATCATAAGGCATTAATTTTTTTTATCTTATTGATTTGTCAATATTGTAGGTAAGGTAACGTTAAACCATGCCACTAATTCCTGGGTAGTTTGACTCGGATCGGCTTCCACCATCTCCGTCAATTCAGCGTTATTCACCTGTATGGGTCTTCCCCATGGTTCAAGTCGAAGTTTCTCGTCCTAGACTTGAATTTTCGGAGTATCCATTTTTCACAGTCGGCAATTATCAATCAGCTTAGATAGCTGAATAAAA